TCTGGAGTCTCTATTCTATTCCATTGGTCTATGCATCTGTTTTTGTGCCAATGCCATACTGTCTTGATGATTACAGCTTTGTAGTAGAGGCTAAAATCTGGGATTGTGATGCCTGCCGCTTTGGTCTTCTTCAGTATTACTTTGGCTATTCGGGGTCTTTTGTGGTTCCATACAAATTTTAGGATTGCTTGTTCTAGCTTCAAGAAGAATGCTGGTGCAATTTTGATTGGGATTGCACTGAATATGTAGATTGCTTTGGGTAGTATTGACATTTTAACAATATTTATTCTTCCAATCCATAAGCATGGAATGTTTTTCCATTTCTTTATAACTTCTTCAATTTCCTTCATAAGCTTTCTATAGTTTTCAGCATACAGATCCTTTACATCTTTGGTTAGGTTTATTCCCAGGTATTTTATGATTCTTGGTGCAATTGTGAATGGGATCAGTTTCTTTATTTGTCTTTCTGTTGCTCCGTTAATAGTGTATAAGAATGCAACTGATTTCTGTACATTAATTTTGTTTCCTGCAACTTTGCTGAATTCATGTATCAGTTCTAGCAGACTTTTGGTAGAGTCTATCGGATTTTCCATGTATAATATCATGTCATCTTCAAAAAGTGAAACTTGACTTCATCTTTGCCAATTTTGATGCCTTTGATTTCCTTTTGTTGTCTGATTGCTGATGCTAGAACTTCCAATACTATGTTAAACAACAACAGTGAGAGTGGACATCCCTGTCGTGTTCCTGATCTCAGGGGGAAAGCTCTCAGTTTTTCCCCGTTAAGGATGATATTAGCTGTGGGCTTTTCATAAATGGCTTTATGATGTTTAAGTATGTTCCTTCTCTCCTGACTTTCTTGAGGGTTTTTATTAAGAAAGGATGCTGAGGGGCGCCTGGGTGACGCAGTCGGTTGAGCGTCCGACTTCAGCCAGGTCACGATCTCGCAGTCCGTGAGTTCGAGCCCCGCGTCAGGCTCTGGGCTGATGGCTCGGAGCCTGGAGCCTGTTTCCGATTCTGTGTCTCCCTCTCTCTCTGCCCCTCCCCCGTTCATGCTCTGTCTCTCTCTGTCCCCAAAATAAATAAAAAACGTTGAAAAAAAAAATTAAAAAAAAAAAAAAAGAAAGGATGCTGAATTTTGTAAAATGCTTTTTCTGCATCGATTGACAGGATCATGTGGTTCTTATCTTTTCTTTTATTAATGTGATATATCGCATTTATTGATTGGTGAATACTGAACCAGCCCTGCAGCCCAGGAATGAATCCCACTTGATCATGGTGAATAATTCTTTTTATATGCTGTTGAATTCGATTTGCTAGTATCTTGTTGAGAATTTTTGCATCCATATTCATCAGGGATATTAGCCTGTAGTTCTCTTTTTTTTGCTTGATATAATTATTTTCATGTAATATAGCATATTAAGTATATAACTTGATATAATAAACAATATATACAAACATAAAATACATATTTGTACTTTTACAAATATAAGTAAAAATTTATCAAAACAAATTACTATGTGATAAAGTAGGCAGGAAAATGAAATTGACCATGGTAGAAAGAATTCTAGGATGTCCCCAAAGATTTCTTGGCCCTAGTGTATGTAGGTTATGTCACATGGCCAGTTGACCTTAAGATAAGGAGCTTATCTAGGGGGGGCATGATGCAATCACCTGAATCTCTTAAAAGCAAAGCATTTTCTCTGGTTGGTAGCAGAAGGGAAGTCCAAGAGATTCAAAGCATGAGAAGAATGGGCTGTGTGGGGTGTTCTCCATAGCTGAGGTAGAGGGGGCCACATCACAAGAAGTTGACAGCAGCCTCCAGCAGCTAAGAGCATTGCCATTCTATAACTAGAAAGACAGCAGGGACTTCAGTCCTACAACCACAAGGAATTGAACTCTGTCAACAAGCAGGGGGAATGTAAAAACATACCTTTCCCCAGTCAAGCCTCCAGATGAAGACACAGCCAGCTGACATCTTCATTACATTATGAGACTCTGGGCAGGGGACTCAGCTAAAACATTCCACATTCCTGGGGTGCCTGGATGGCTTGGTGGGTTAAGCGTCCAACTTCAGCTCAGGTCATGATCTTGCGGTTTGTAGGTTTGAGCCCCGTGTCAGGCTCTGTGCTGACAGCTCAGAGACTGGAGCTGCCTTCAGAGTCTGTGTCTCCCTCTCTCTCTCTGCCTTCCCCCACTTGAATTCTGTCTGTTTCTCTCAAAAATAAATAAACATTAAAAAAAAACAAACAAACATACCACACTCCTGACTCGTGGAAACTGAGGTCAGAAATCTAGGTTGCTTTAAGTGGCTAAGTTTCTGGTAATTCATTAATACAGCAATAGAAAACCTATACATTGACTTTTCAGCATAAAAAATATTTCGTATTAATTTTTGGCTTGCTGTCAGCTACTGTTTGGGCTTATGTTTCATGACTCTGTGAGGTTTGCTGTTTATGCTTCTACAGAGAGAAACTTTAGAGAAATTTTTTCTTTCTTCTGTGTTTTGTAACAAATGTTTATTGCAAATGTCTGCTCTTTGTCAGGTATGACTAGGCTGTAGTGATAGGTGAGACAAGTAAAATTCTCTGCTCTCAAAAAGTTCTGGTCCAGAGGAAAGTCGGACAATAAGCAAGAGAACAAATAAATACACAAGATACTCTGAGGAGTCTGAAGTGCCATGAAGATGGTGAAGGAGTGTGGGAATGTAAACAAGCCTGGGGGTAAGGCTGCAAGCTATGGCCTTAGCTGGGTGGTCAGGGACGGCCTCTGAGAGGATGACTTTGGAGCTGAGACCTGGGTAATAAGGAGCGGCCCCAAGTGAAGAGGGAGAAATGTCAGCTCCAGGGCCTTGTGAGCCTTCCTGAAGGTAGCCCTGTCCCTGGGCGTCACCACCAGGAAGGAGCTGGTCAGAACCTCCAGCACCCCAGGGCTGCCTCTGAGGCTTCCCTGAGGGCCAACACTGCTAAGTCTCCAAGGAGGCTGCTTGGTACAGCCCAGGCTGGGATCCCGGAGACTGGTGCCACCCCTAGCCCCCTTCAGGATATTAGGGAAGGCTTGAAGGACTGGAGGTCCCCCTCAAGAGTTTTCCAGATAATCTGCACCATTTGGGGTCTGGCCATCAGATCCTCACCACGGTGAAAGTGCTTTGTTCTCACTGGGACCTGTCCTTACGTGTGAGAGGTTTTCCTGAAAAGTGTTTGTTTTCTCTCAGGGCTTACTGCTCAAGGGCCTTCTGAGTGATCTCAGTCCAGATTCTTGCCAATCTTCCCATACCCTGCTCATATTGTTGTAGGGTCTGGTCTTTGCATTGTTTAGGGAGCCCCTTCTGCCCCCCCCCCCCAAGCCTTTAATGAGGACCAGGAGGGGAGGCAGTGCCAAATCTGTACAGGCAGGCTTCTCTAGGCTTCCCATCCCTGGTCACACGCGTAACATTGCAGGGCCTGGGAAAGAACTCGAATTCAGGTCCACATACCATATGGCTAAATACTTTAAAGCGATACATCAGGCTGGCAAAGTATATATAAAATGGGTTGTATTGTCAGACTTAAACAGACCTTCACAAAGACTTCTCAGACTCCTTGGAGCTCTACGCCGAATAGGTGGTGTTGGGGGCAGGCCTCTGGCTCCCAGGCTGCAGAAGGCTGACTTCTCTCCCCCACCAATCCCCTGTTCCACCCTGAACCACAAGGGGTGTCCCTTGAATGCATGTAGACACCCTGGCCTGCATGTCCAAGCTTCACGCAATGCTCCCTGCAAACCTCTGTCCCTCAGGCCTTACGGTGTGCACCCCTTCCGTGTGGTCCACTCTCAGGAAGATGGATCCAGGCAACAGGCACATGCACATCTAGAAGTGGATTCAGGGTCAGAGGGCAGGGAATTGTAAGGTTCTGGGTGCTTGGAGGCTCTAGAATGGGGTTGGTGGGCTCTGGGTGGACGCAGCCCTGTGGCCCTGCAGTCTCCTTGGCCTGTTGAGAAGGGACAGGATGCGGATGTCTGAAGTGCAAAGCCCAGTGCGAGAGCCCCTCTTGCCTGGATCTAAGAATGAGAACTTTCTGGCACTTTCCACGGTGCTGCCTGTCAGAAGCTTTTTAAAAAATTTGTCTTTAAAGAAACATTTAACATTCGACTCTCAAAATTTCTCGAAGTTATGGAAAAGATGCCAAAAGAGTTCGATGAACTCCCCTTTGCTTTCTCTATAAATAACCTACAAAAATTGTGCCGAACTGTTTGAGAGTAGTTGTAGACACTGTGATTCTTACCCTCTAAATACTCCAGTGTGTGTATAGTTTCTATCTTTCTTTGTCTTTTATGACATTGATAGATTTGGAGAGTATAGGCTACACTGTCCCTTGGTTTGGGTTTGTCTGGTGTTTCCTCCTGATTAGGTTGGGGCCACATATTTGGGGTAGGAATACTTCCTGAGTGATGTTGTGCTCTTTTCAGTATATCTCATCAGGAGGCCCATGATGTCAGTTTGCCCATTACAATTCTACATGCTGATTTGCAGGTATGTTAAACCATGAAAACATCCTGTCTCATCACACTGTTGGAAAGCATACCTTTCCCCATCTTGTAATTTTTATCAAGAACAGTATTGCCCAGGGGTGCCCGGGTGGCTCAGTAGGTTAAGCGTCTGACTTCAGCTCAGGTCATGATCTCATAGTCTGTAAGTTCGAGTCCCGTGTCGGGCTCTGTGCTGACAGCTCAGAGCCTGGAGCCTGCTTCGGATTCTGTGTCCCCCCTCTCTCTGACCCTCCCCTGGTCATGCTCTGTCTCAAAAATAAACATTAAAAAAAATAAAATAAAAAAAAAAGAATAGTATTGCCCAGTAGATATATATACTGTAAGTCACATCTTATTTTAAATTTTCTAATAGCTACATCAAGAAAGTAAGAGAAATCAGGTCAAATTAATTTTAATAATGTATTTTATGTTATACAACCTATCTAAAATATGATCTCAAACATGTAATCGATATAAAAAAAAATTGCCAAGGAGACATTTTAAGGTTTTTTTTATTCCAACTCTTTGTAACACTAGAGAATTAATATTAATTCCTAGAAACAGTACAATAACATTTTCTACAGTAAAAGGCAGTCATGAGACTTAGAACAGAAAGGCTCTGCGAGCTCATGAACAAGATGAACACCAAAACCCCACAGCTGAGACACTGTAAAAACTTCTGAAGCAACAAAACAGTCCTAGACAAAGGAATGAAAATCAGTCCAGCCTAGAACTTCCCAACAGCAATAATGGATACTAGGTGATAATGGATTTGGCATTTGATAAAAAGCTGCTCATTATTTTGCAGGGGATAATACAAGTCCCACCCCATTCCGAGAGCTTGAGAAGGCTGATGGCACAGTCCTACCGAAAATCAACCATCTTTCTGCATGCACCTGCTCCATCTTTTTTTTTTTTTAATTTTTTTCTCAATGTTTTTTATTTATTTTTGGGACAGAGAGAGACAGAGCATGAACGGGGGAGGGGCAGAGAGAGAGGGAGACACAGAATCGGAAACAGGCTCCAGGCTCTGAGCCATCAGCCCAGAGCCCGACGCAGGGCTCAAAATTACGGACCGCGAGATCATGACCTGGCTGAAGTCGGATGCTTAACCGACTGCGCCACCCAGGCGCCCCGCACCTGCTCCATCTTGATGAAAGGCACCACTTCCTACCTAGTGACCCAAGCCAGGCTCCTTCAGGGTGCCTTCCTCAGCTCTGCTATCCAAAGGGACACCAATTCCTGTAGCTGCTACCTCCTAAAAATCGCTCCACTCAGGTGCTCCTCCCCATCCGCCACCCAACTGTTCTTCTCCAGATTATTTTTTACATTTTTTTAAACATTTATTTATTTTTGAGACAGAGAGAGACAGAGCACGAATGGGGGAGGGTCAGAGAGAGAGGGAGACACAGAATCTGAAACAGGCTCCAGGCTCTGAGCTGTCAGCACAGAGCCCGACGCGGGGCTCGAACTCACAGACCGCAAGATCATGACCTGAGCTGAAGTCGGCCGCTCAACCGACTGAGACACCCAGGCGCCCCTGTTCTACTCCAGATTATTATCATAAAAGGTTCTCAGCCTCAGCATGCCGTGGTCCACTCTGCAACCCGCGCGATCTTTCTTAAGTTCAAATATCACCATGTTGCTGTGCTGCTCGCAAACTTTTGTGACGGTTCTCTTCAGCTTTACGACGAGGTCTGAGTCTTGGGTTCAGTTCACAGGACTCTTCCTGATCTGGCCCAGAACAGCCTCGCCCAACTCCCTCTGCTCCTCCACCCTGTGCTGCTCCTTGACAAAGCTCCTTGCAGTTGGCCGGACGCGTATGTTGTGTCATGCCTCGGTGTGTTGACAAATGCCGCTTCCTCTTCCCAGTAAACTCCTTCTCCTGTTTCCTCTAGCTGAGCACCCCCCAGCCCTCCACAACTCAGCTGGAGCAGCACTTTTTCGGCCAGCCCTCATCAGATTTAAATTTGAGAATGGATCTCTTTGGCAGCCATGAGGAAGGTGGGTTCCTCATAAGCCATGGGCTGATGGTTGGCTTCGGTCTTAAAACGCTACATCAGACATCTGGGATGTAAATTGTGAAGAGCTGCCCTGATAGTCACTGCAGACAGATGGTCACCACAGAGAAAAGCTGAGGCATGGTGGTCTGGAAATGGACTACTTCATTCTCCTCACTGAGTCAAGCTTAATCAGGGACGTCATGAGAATTTTGTGTTATCTTTATCTCGAGATGAACTTCCTTTTCTTATCTAGGATCAAGGCTTTTCAGCACATTCGTTTGCCAGGTTACTTGGGCTGATCTTTCACAGAATAATCAAGAGTGTCAAACGATTTCCTTGTACATGAAACTGTTATAAGAGACCTCAGCTAAGACACTTGTGGCCGCTAAGGGCACACACTCTTCGGGATCCTGTGATCTCATTGGCTACCACCACACTCTTTCAGACATGGTGAGAACTATCTCCTCTCCTCATGACTCCGTCAGAGTTAGCTTCCCTTTCGTTGCAGGGTGAGGAGAGAGAACGAAAATCATTTCACACAGCCTTCTCACCTTACTGCTTTCCTCCACACGAACCTAAAGAGGGACTTCTGAAATCTGAGATTTCTCCTCTGTCTTAATGAGTAGAAATTGATGAAAAAATACCAACGTTGGAGGACTAAACCATTGCATTTCAGGATTGGTACCTAGCAGGGCCTGGACACGATACAGAAATAGATTTGTTCCAGTAAGCTCCTCTCTAACTTTGGTTTTTGTTTTTTGAACATCTGTCCTTTTCTTGGTGGGATGTGTTCGTTAAAACAGTTCGCCCTCGGGGTGCCTGGGTGGCTCAGTCTGTTAAACGTCTGACTTCGGCTCAAGTCATGATCTCGCGGTTTGTGAGTTGGAGCCCTGCGTTGGGCTCTGTGCTGACAGTTCAGAGCCTGGAGCCTGCTTCGGATTCTGTGTCTCCCTCTCCCTGTGCCCCTCCCCTGCTCACGCTCTGACTCTCTCTGTCTTTTAATAATAAATAAATGTTAAAAACAAAATTTAAAAACAATTTGCCCTCCTCCGGGCACGGGTCACTTCTCGAGGGTTACTGGCTGTCGCCCTAATGTTGGATTTTTTTCTTACCAGCTGCTTCCAAATATCTGCCCCCTTCCTTTTCTCCCTTAGACTGGAGGTCCACAAACTTTCTTTGAAGAGGAGCAAATACTTCCAGCTTTGTGGCCATATGATCTGTTGCGCTTACTCAATTCTGCTGTTGTAGCAAAAGTAGCTATACACACTATATAAACGAATGGGTGTAGCTGTGTTCTAATAGGATTTTGTTTACAAAAACAGTCACCAGGCCAGATTTGGCCCAGGGGCCATCCTTTGCCAAACAGGCTTTAGAATATTCCATGCAACAATGTACCCTTAAAAAATTCTCACCTTTCAGGCTCCTTGCACTTAGGGGTAGTTATGGCCAATGAGGCATTAGCGGACTACCACAGTGGATTTCTGGAAAAGCTTCTTCTGTTTTCCAAACAAAGGTGTCGCCATTTTGTCTTTCATTTTCTTCCTTTCGTTCAATATAAGCATGAAGCCTGGAGGGGCAGAGCAGCCATCTTGTGACAGTGAGAGTTCTGACAGCACTGGGGGTCTGGCTCAGCCCTGCGCTCTCTCCCCGGTGACTCCTTTACTTAGTTAAGCCACTGTTAGTCACGTCTTCTGTCCTTGTACTTGAACTCACTCCTAACAGGTACATATCTGGAAGCAACATATGCACACTATAAAAAATTCAGAAAATACAGACAAGCTGAAAGGAGAGGGGAAATCATACCCAGTTTAACCACCCATAAACACATGTCTCAGAATGGAGAGGATGTCATCAGTTACCCTCAAACTTGCCTCGCTCGGGCCATTGCAAGGTAACTGTGATTATATTTCTAAGTACAAAACCCCAAAAGAATGAGTTTTATTTGCTTATATCAGTTTCTTCCAAGAAATCTGGATGTTGTAAACCAAGGTTTTTACAGCACTGGAGTCACAGTTCTTGCAACATGTGGTCCATATCATAAATCTTTAAAAGGGGCAGCCTTCTGGTAGCCAAGAAAACCTTTCAGACCTGAAACTCTACCTCAGGATCAAACCCCACCCTTCTCAGTCAAACATACACATGCACACACACACACACACACATACAAGTGTGTGCATGCACAACCCTCCCTGGTATGGGGCGAGATGCCTTTAGATGAAGGAAAAGACCAGTAGGTTGAAAGAATAGGGTATAAAGCGTGGACACGAAAATGCAAGCGGATGGAGTCTAGTATAAAACAATAGAGGGGATACAGCAGTGCAAAAAGGACACAATAGTGAATAAGTGTTGGGACAATTGGATTCCTAAATGTAAACAAATGAAATTAGATTCCTACTTCACCCTCTATCCAAAGTAATTTCCAGAAGGATTAAAGACCCAAATGTGAAACGCAAAACTTTAAACCTATTTAAACATATGAGATGTCTTCATGTCCTTGGGGTGGGGAAGAATTTCTTGACAAAACGTATCATGAAGAAAAGTTATAAATATGGCTACATTAAAACCCAAAATTTTGGTACATCAAAAGACATCCCTTTTGAAATATGAAAAGATAAGCCACAGATGGGAGAAATATTTACATATATACAACTTACAAAGAATCTGTATTCTAAGCATATAAAGAAGGCTACAAATTAATAATAAGGAAAAGACAGCAGCCCAATAGAGAAATGGGTAAAGATAGAGACAAGTAACAGAGAGAGAGAGAGAGAAAATGAACGAAGAGGTAACACATGAAAGATGCTCACCTTCGCTAGTCCATTAAGGCAAAGCAAACATAAACAAGTTATGTTTTCACTCATTTATGTGGCACAGTTTATAAATAAAAGAAATGTCAAGGATGTGGGAAAACAGGAAGTCCATTGGTGGAAATGTATATTGGTATAGCCATTTTGGAAGGTAATTATAATGAAATATGTTTTTATTTAATGTTTATTTTTCAGAGAGAGAGACAGAGAGACAGAATGTGAGCAAAGGAGGGGCAGAGAGGGAGGGAGACACAGAATCCGAAGCAGACTCCAGGCTCTGAGCTGTGAGTACAGAGCCCAATGTGGGGCTCAAACTCACAAACCACGAGATCATGACCTGAGCCAAGGTCAGACACTTAACCAACTGAGCTACCCAGACGCCTCCATAATGAAATCTTTATTGAGTAACAGGGTAGGGCAGAGATCAAGTTTTACTCTTCCCCAAGCCTCGTCTTGAATCTGCTCTGCAAATTTTTTCTCTGTTCACAATAGGTTCAAATGCTATGGACTAATTCATATGTGGAAGCCCTAACTCCCCATGTGACTGTATCTGGAAATAGGGTCTTCAGTAGGTAATTAAGGTTAAATGAGTCATAAGGATGGGGCCCTAATCTAACAGGACTGTGGCCTTATAAAAAGGGAAGATTGATCTCTCTCTCTCTCTCTCTCTCTCTCTCTCTCTCTCTCTCTCCCCCCTCCCTCTGCCCCCTCTCTCTCTCTGCCAAACGAAGACCCAGCAAAAAGGCAGCCATCTGCAAACCAGGAAGACAGGCCTTACTGGGAACTGAATTGGCCAGCACCTTGATTACAGACTTAGCAGCCTCCAGAATTGTGGGAAATGAATTTCTTTTGTTTCAGCCACTAGTCTATAGTATTTAGATATGGCAGGCCCAAACAGACCGATACACCTAATAATAAACATGCATGGCTTAATATGAAGAAGGAATCCTTCTGAGGTGTAAAAAATGACCCAAATATCCTTGGATTGGCAGGTTCTTCCAAAGTAATAGATACTTAATGGAATCCTATTCAAAATTACAGATTATTCTTTTACCCTAACAAGCTGATTCAGTAATGCCTCAAGAAATTACGTGAAAATGACAAAAATTTTGGAAAATCAAAACAAAGGCAAAACAATAATGTGAATGGGGCTATTTTCCCACATCGCAAAACACCATGGATTTGGTGACTTTGGTGTAGAAATAGACATATGGTGACCTAGAAGCGAAGAGAGTCCAGAGATCCCCACACATCTGTGCCTATGTATATATGTGCCTGTATGTGCTTGTGTATTAAAAGTAGCATTTCAAATCAATGACAAGACAATGGCATACCCGATACATGGTATTAAAATAATTAGATATTTATTAAGCAAATATGATTTGGTTAGATCCTTCCCTAGCACCATACACAAATTAACTTTAGGTAAAGAGTTTGGCATTAAAATTTTAACGAAGTATTTGCAGTGATCATTGTATTTGATCTATTCACCCCAAAGAATGAGTTGAAGGCAATCATGGCAATCCTATAT